TTCCTGGCTGAACCCAGCACATTGTTCTAATACAAATATTTTTCCAGTGAAAGTCCCTCAAAATATTTTATCTCATCAACTCAAATTCTGGTGTTTTGTTTTTTGGGTGTGTGGCTTTTGTTTTTGTGGGGGTGGTTTTTTTTACTTGCCTGAAGAAAGGTTTGGGCATTTAGGAATCTATGCTAATGAAAGTGCTAGAAGCAGCTTTTCAGCCCAAGCCTGTGGTATATTAAACTTAAGTCAAAATTTCTGGAGTAGATTTCTTTTATTGTCTGAATGCTTTGCTTTTCCTTGGATAAACTTGTGGTAAGGGCTAGCAAGCCATGCTAAATATAAGAAAATTCATGTTTCTCATCCTTGTCAGGTATATGTGGTAGAGTAAGTTTTGCTATGTGCCTACTATCTGAGAAACTTTAGTTTTTATTTCTGCTGCTCTTGTGACTGACTTGCTGCCTGTGTGACTTCATTCTTTATTGTCCTCATACCCATACAGAGGTAGGACTTTGATCCCTTGCCCTTTTTAAAGGGATAGCATGATATACAGAGTATGTGGATTATCAATATTTATAATGCGCTTGTAGGCCAGGATCCACTCAAACATAATGTATCTTGTATGATTGTTTCCCGTTTCTTGGCTATATTAGTAATATAGATTACTTATGTGATACATGATGTTATAAATTTGATGTTTGAATGAAAGTAAACATAATATATATTCTAACTGTATTGGAAGGTTTCATCTAGGAGAATATTACGTTCTGGCAAAAATTGCTATTCAACCTCTTTTTGTATGGCAAACAAGCAATATTTGAAAAGACTGTTAATTCTTTTGCTAGTACGGTAGCTTTAGTATTGTTAGTGCTTTGTTCGGGTTCAGCATAGCCTTGTCATCATGTTTATTCCAGCCAAACTTTGCTTTTTTCTTACAGCATTGATTTGGTAACACTGCTTCAAAAGCCTATGACTTCTACCCAAGAGACAGAAGGCAACTCATTTAAGGCTCCCCAGCAGCAGACCTTCGGCCAAGCCTTGGTCTTCACAAATTCTCAGCACAGCACCCAGATGGCATCAGGAACTGTCAACTCCAGTGCTGTAAACTCTTATTCTTCTCAAAGTCTGGTAAAACTCTGCATGCTCTTCATAGTCTTTTAAATATTCTTCATGAGTAAATATTTCAGGTTAAACAACTTTTCTGGTACTGGGCATTTCAATAGATGTCTCAGTATTTGTAAAATTCAGGTTGCAAATGTTGAAGCAATGGAATGAAGAATTCCATACCTTCCATTCACTCACACAAAAAACAAAGGATTACTTTTTTTCTGTTTTTTGCTAAGTAGTTGTTTCTCAGTTTACATGAAATACTTGTATTTTTGAGTAGAGGGCAGATTTGTTTACTGCATACTGATTTAGGATGAAATCACTTGTTTATAGTGAAGAGGTCTAGGCCAGAAAACTGTGATGTGTTTTGTTTCCAAGCACACAACTGAGTACATTTTGTGGGAACATGATTATTTCTGAGTCAATTGTAAGTGCTTGAAATTGGGCACTTGTATTTATTCTCTGAAAATCAGTTCAACTATTAGTAAATACATGCTGTTTTGAGATGCATGGATTCAAGTAAATCAGTATTGTTGCAATCAGTAGTGGAACTTGTAGCATATGGCCAGATCCACTCTGGTTATCACCAATACAATTGCTGAATTTTTATTGGTCACTTATTAGTAATCTAGGATCAAAGGGGTTTTGGTTGTTGCCAAACAGCAGCTGTAGGCATTGACCCTATGGTTATGTTCAAATTATTTATTAAATACTTCACTCCTTCCCCTCTCTTTGTCTTCTGGTAGTCTGCAGTTCTTTGTTCTGGCTTTGGAGAACTTGGATCCTCTAAATTGGCAAACTCTACTGGATCCCAAATCTTGGACCAATTGAAATCTCCAGGTTTGGGTCAGTTTACTTCTCAACAAAACAATAGTAGCTCTACCACTACTACCACATCATCTTGGCACCTAAAACCGCCCATTACTCAGTCTTCAGTTCTTAGTCAGTTTGGTAAGTGTTTTCACATATTTTTTTCTCTCCCTCTCTGTTAGCCTGTAAGATTTCTTAATGCCAATGTCAGTTTAAAATGGCCTTAAACAAAAAGCTTTTAGAAAAAAATGTAATCCTAATAATATAATTGGTTACAACATTGTGATACACTTATTTACTGGTAACAAACATTATGAGTATATCACAAGCTAGAAGTTGTTGAGCCTTCACATAATGACATCTTTGATTTAATGTGATTGACTATTTAAGTGGAACTTTAATGTGACAGTTTCTCAACAAATACTGGAAAATACTTATTTTTATTGTGCCTATGCTGTTTCTAGCTGAGTATAACGTTGTACCATATTTTTTTCATTTTTGCCCAATTGTTTCCTCTTCTAACCATTACATGAATTGTGAATTAGTACTATATAATTTCTTCATAATGTGCATCACATCTCCGT